CCCCCCCAAAAACAAAACAAAAAATTTAACACAATGGCATATTACTCAGCTATAAAAAAAGATAAAACTTTAGACTTTTATAGGTAAATGAATGCAACTAGAAATCATACTCCTAAGTGAAATAAATCAGACCTGCATGTTTTTGTTTTTGTTTTTGGCAGAACTGGGGATTGAATTCAGGCCCTTGTACTTGCCAGGGAAGTGCTTATTCCATTGAGCCATCTCCCCGGCCCAGATCTACATGTTTAAACATCATACTGTCTCCCTACTGTGTGAGCCTGAAAGAATAAATAAAATCTAAAAGGTACAATAGAAAGTGTGAAAGAAAAAGAAACTGTTCAAAGGGAAGGAACAGGGCTGGGGATATATATAGCTCAGTGGTACAGTGTCTGCCTAGCAAGTGCAAGGTCCCAAGTTTGATTCCAGGCACCAAAAAACTGAAAATAAAATGCACCATAACTGGAATTAAAATATTTTTATTTTTATTTCTTGTATTTTAGGGAAGGGTCTACACAGTGTTCAGGGTCTCACTATTAGATCGGACTCATAGTGATCCACCTGTTTATAGCCTCCCAAGAGCTGGGATTACAGGCGTGCACCTCCACACCCAGTCTCAATTGCTGTCTCAGCATGCTGCAGGGCTGGGGCTGGCCCGCCAGGCCTGGGGATGGAGCCCCCAGCCCCTGTGCCTGCTTGTAGGTGTTTTAATCCTCTAAGCTATTTAGCTGGCCCTTCAAATTATTTTTTAAAGGGAGAAGGAACAACTGAAATAGGGAAAAGGAGAAAAAAAATATATATGCATATACATAGGATGGCTTGGATTGCTGATTTCTACTGGTCTACTTAAAACAATAGTTAATGCTTATTTTTTTTTCCTTTTTAATTTTTTTTAAACCAATTCTGCATGCTTGTACCTGGTCTTCTGAACAAATTATGTATGTATGTATGTATGTATGTATGTATGTATGTATTTGGTACAGGGTCTCACTATGCAGCTTGGACTCATAGTGATCCTTCTGTTTTCAGCCCCCCAAGTGCTGGGGTCACAGGCATGTGCTGCCACGCCGGGTCTCGGTGGCCCTCTCAGCGCACCCAGGGGCAGGGCCAGCACGGCATGTGGTACTGGAATCAAACCTCGGTCCCTGTGCTCTTGCTTAGTCCGCTGAGCCATCTCACTGGTCCTGAACAACTAATTTAAAGATAACTAATATAACAACCAATATAGCAATATAATACTGCTGAATGCCTATCATTTTACTTAGTGAAATTCTGTATCATTTCTAACGTTTTTTCTTTCTTTTTACTATTTTTAAAATTCCTTTTAGAAGGATGTTTTGTTTTTGGCTGGCTCAGGCTGCCTTAAGGGCAGGTCTGGGAAGGCATGTGGAGCTGGGGATCAAACTGCGGTATTCTGCATCTGACTGTGACTGCATAAGCAGGCGCTTAAACAACTGAGCTACCCGGCAGGCCCCCATTCCCTTTAAAAAATAAAGATAAAATAAATAAAAGGCTAAGAGAAAATACAAGCCTTACTGAGCAGCTACCATGCACTAAGCAGAATGCTACACATTAGTCCTCCCAACCACGCTGTGAGAGAAAGAAAATTCTGAGACATTCACAGGGGAAATCCTGAATGCACTTCTAAGACCTTTAGGTTTTAGGCTGGCAACTACTGGATTTCTTTTTTTTTTTTTTTTTTTGGTGGAACCGGGAATTGAACTCAGACCCTTGCACTTGCCAGGGAAGCACTTATTTCACTGAGCCATCTCCCCGGCCCCAACCACTGGATTTCTAATCAGCCCCAGCTCATACTTCCCATAAGAGACATCAAGGACAGTGTCCCAGGGTGCAACCTAGCAGGGCGGAAAGGCCCCAGGGGCAGCTCAGAAACAATCGGAGCAGCTCACCTGCTGGAGTGCCCGGCCTGTGAAGGAAGAAGGATCCAACAAGCGGGCCAGCTGGGAGTGGATGGGACTGAAGTAGGCATCGGCCTGAATCCGCTCTATGAGGTCATTGTCACCCCCTTCCTGCTTAACCACAGCAGCTGCCTGCTGGGAAAGCACTCTAATTTTCTCATGGCAGTCCTGAGAAGGAATGAGGGAGAGGAGTTAGGGCACAGACAACAGGATGCTGAACTCTGCTGGAAGACAGGAGACGGTGCCCAGTATAAAGCCCTCTGGGATGAGTAAGGTTGCTTCAGCCTGACTCCACTGGGATCTCAACGCTCACCACACTGTAGAGGACCCCGAGATAGTCACCACCCTTCCTGAAGGCCTCACGGCCATTTGCTCTTGCTTCCCACTGGCTTTCCAAACTAATCTCTTGACCAAGAGTGGACTTTGCCTAGAAGTGATTATGGGGTTCATTTCTTTCTTTCTTTCTTTCTTTCTTTTTTTTTTCCTCCAGAACCGGGGATTGAACTCAGACCCTGGCACTAACCAGGCAAGCGAGTAGTTCATTTCTAATAAAGATGGCAGATACAATCACTGGTCTGTGGCACTATCATGACTGAATTTTTTTTTTTTTTTGCAGAACCAGGGATTGAACTCAGGTCCTTGTACTTGCCAGGGAAGCGCTTATTCTACTGAGCCATCTCCCCGGCCCCTCATGACTGAAATTAAGGAAAAGAAATGCCTCCCCTTTTCCAGTCTTCCTGGGTGGAGGGGTGCATTCAGTTTACCCAGGAGCACCAGCAGCCACGTACCTGGCGGCTGCCCCCTGCCTTGACCATGGCCATGATGATGTTCTCTGTGGCCATGAAAGGCAACTCCTGCCGAATGCGCCGTTCAATGACCTGAAAGAAGAAGACAAAGGCCAACACAGATGCCGCAAGGATACAAAGTCTCTCTCTCTCTCTCTCTCTCACACACACACACACACACACACGATACCAACTATGTCCAGCTAAGTGCACAGCATGAGGTGCTACTATTTTTTGAGACATAGAGAGGGTAATGAGTTGTTTTACTTTATGCTGTATTTCTGTTTTCTTACAACTCCAGAGATTAATCTTAATTTTAAACAGAGGAGTGTTGGTTTGAGGAAAACTTTTGGAAGCTGCTTCCAAAAAATAATTCCTAAAACTTAAACATCTAAAGTGTTAAATTTTGGCTCCAAGCCCCCAGAGCTGAGTGTAAGAGAAATGCACCTGCCTCTAGTCGCAGGTTAGCAAAACCCATTCTCTGGGGTGGAGGTCTTGGGTTCCTGGATGAGCTCCACAGGGGAAGAACTCCCTGGACTAGAACCCAGACCCCACCACTGTGCAGAGCGCACCCCTTCCCATGCTTCAACTCCTCCCCAGTGCTGTACTTCGGATGGAGCTCTCTTACTTTGGGGTACACCACGAGTCCTTCAGAAATGTTCTGCAGTGTATTCAGTATGGTATCTGCAGTGAGGAATGCCTCGGCCAAGCAGATACGCCTATGAAACAAACAACCATCTGATTAGCTCTTTAAACAAACCACCATGTCAGAGACCCACAGGGTGTGGCCAAAGAAGCTGCCCTGCTGACTTCTGTCACCGGCCACACCCTGTACTTTCATACTGCCTCAGCCACCCCAATGTCCTCACGAGCCTCAAGTCTTTAGCATGTCTAGGCTAGACCCTCGCCCATTGCCAGAGCTTACACCAACCTCCCCCAGTAGGCCCAGATACCTCAGACTCCCGCTGACCTCAGCCCCGCTCTGATTTCCTGCTCCCTGACACAGATCTGCTCTCCCTAACCTTTCTGACTAGATCCCTGACTCATGAGAATTGATTCTCCCAACTGTTTTTTTTTTTTTTTTTTTCAGAACCAGAGATTAAACTCAGGCCCTTGCACTTGCCAGGCAAGCACTTATTCTACCGAGCCATCTCCCCGGCCCCCTCCCAACTGTTGCCAGGTCGACTATTTATATTTTGTAGTACTGGTGATGGAACTCAGGACCTGGAGCATGCTAAGCAAGCACTCCACCACTGAGTTACTCAGCCCTTTTTAGCTAATTATTCTTTTTTTTTTGGAGGAACTGGGGATTGAACTCAGGCCCTTGCGTTTGCCAAGAAAGCGCTTATTCTACTGCGCCATCTCCCTGGTCCCTTTAGCTAATTATTCTGTGCAGCCCATTCGTTTTACTTTTCTTTTCTTTTTTTTTTTTTTTTGGCAGAAACAGGGATTGAACTCAGATCTTTGCGTTTGCCAGTCAAGCGCTTATCCTACTGAGCCACCTCCCCGGCCCCTGTTTTACTTTTCTGAGATAAGGTATTGCTGGGATTATAAGTGTGTGTTACCGCCCTTTGCTAGGGTGATTTACCAGGCAAATCAGATTAGGCCACAGCCTCCTAAAACACAGTTGGCCCTCTGATCCTGAGGGCTTGGCATAAATGGATTCAACCAATTGTGGATGAAAATATTTGAGAAAAAAATTGTATCAGTAATGAACATACATATTGCTTTCTTGTCCCCTAAAGAGTATCACCATTATTTATAATATATAGCACTCATTGTTATCAGATACTACAGAATACATGGGAGGACCAGCTGTAGTGGCACACGCCTTGGAGGCTCATGCAGGAGGATCACTGGGAGTCTGAAGCCATCCTGGGCTACATACTAAGCACAAGGCGAGCCTAAACTACATAGTGAGCCTGTCTCAAAAAAAAAAAAAAAGCATACAGGAGGACATATGGACATTATGTGGAACTATTACACCATGTCACACAGGGTGAAGTACCCAGATTTTGGTTTTCATGGTGGTAGGAATACCAAGGGATGACTGAACTCAATGGCTGACTTCTGAATGAGGATGTTTAACTCCACATCCTTTTCCACTAAAAAAAATCCTAGTACAATGTAAGACAACTTGCATACGAACGTGCTCCAAATGAGTACAGACATAAAACAAAAGCTATGCATGTGCTGGGACATGCGTGTGTAATGACAATTTCTTCTGTCCTACCTTGTGATTGCTGAAGATGGCACTGTGCCAGGACACCATGGCTACTGACCCCCTGCCTGCAGAGGAGCGCGGGCTACATCTGTGACCACGTCCTGCCTTCTTTCCTGCCACATTTCAACTTCATTCTTCAGTGCTACCCGGCTACTAGCAACTCCTTCAGCTGTTCTCTTTTGTCTTTATTTTTTTTTTTTAATGTATTGAATATAGGGTCTATAGGGTCTCACTAAGTAGATCCAACTTGTAGTGATTTTCCTGTTTTCAGCCTCCCAAGTGCTGGGATTACAGGCCACACCACCACGTCCAATCTCAATCACCATCTTGCGAGCCCTGGCACAGCATACCAGGGGTCGAACCCCAGTCCCTGTGTCTGTCTAAGCGGGCGCTTTAGTCCACTGAGCTATCTGGCCAGCCCTTGTTCTCCTTTGTCTTTTAAGACAAACAACTAGAATGTTCCCCAATTCCTTTAATGCTGTTCTGTGCTCTCAAAAATGTACTGAATACATCGTAATACTACCATATTGTTCCTTCTTTTTTTTGAGGGGGGGGTCAGCTCAGCCTGCCCTGAGGGCAGGGCTGGAACCGCATGTGGTACCAGGGATCGAACCTCGGTCCTCTGCACCTGCCTAAGAAGGCACTGTAGACCCCTGAGCTATCTCACTGGCCCTCTTTCTTCTTTAAAATAAGATCTCCTAGTACTCAAGATGACCTCAAATCCCAAAGCAATTCTCCTGCTTCAGCCTCCTGCATACATTTTATGTTGTTGTTTTGTGCCTTTGTAGCACTGGGGTTTGACACCCACACCTGTGCACAGCAGACAAGCACTTGAATCCCTGAGCTACAGTCCTAGCTCCTGTTCTCTGTTCTTGCCTCCCTGCTGGGCTCTGGGGAGATGCAACACAGAGATGCTCCAACGTGTCCTACTACTTCTGGTCCCAACACTCTGCATGTAACATCGCTGGGGCCACTAACCGGTTGGCACTGTCATCCAGTGTGCGTTCAAACCACTGCACAGAAGCTGTTTGCAGTGGGTCCATGACAAGGCCCATGAGGTGACGGGCGAGGCTGCAGCATCGTTCCGAGCGCATGGGGTTCCGCTTGTACGGCATTGCACTGGAGCCTGCCCGCATGAGAGGACAACAGCCAAAGGAGGAAAGACCTCAGGGGACAGCAGGTGCACAAGCAGTGTGTGGCGCCAGGAGAGCTCTTAGCACGAGTCCACACACTGCTCCAACAGTGCTCGGGTGCTCCGGGGTCTCCAGTTACACTCACCAATCTGCTGCTTTTCAAAGGGCTCCTCCAGCTCCTTGAGGTTAGCCAGAAGGCGGATGTCAGTGCAAATCTGGGGGAGGCAGGGGAGCGGGTGTCAGCCCATTCCCTTGTGCTGCAGAGAGCTGAGGGCAGGGCCGATGCTGACAGAGGGAAGGTGGTCCTGGTGCTGCCCTGTTGCTCACCTGTCACCAAGCTGAGCACCAGCCTGTCCTGCCCAGAAGCTCCCCCATACCTTGGGTACACCCCACCCAAGACACCCTCTGCTCCTCAAGAGCTGGGGGACAAACACTGGAGCACTGACGTGCCTAGGACCTTGGGGAATGACAACGGCAAGATTAACTGTACCCTCGGTAAGATGTGCATTTTGTATTCGTTGAGTAACTTGTTTTTTGAGATAGCAACTCATCTCGCTGTGTAGTTCAGGCTGGTCTTGAATTTACTATGTATCGCTTCTTGGCCTTTTGGCTAAGATCAAGTGTTGAATTTACTATGTAGCCCAGACTGGCCTTGGACTTGGAGTGATCCTCCTGCCTCACCCCAGTGCTGGGACTACAGGTATGTGCCAGCATGCCTGGCCCTTCGAGTAACTGTAAGGAGAATGCTGCAACAAGGCTTCCCTTTGACAAACCTCAAGTTGAGGACTCCACTTACAAGCCCCGAATGTTAGAACTGGGGTAGCACTGAGAGACAGGCCTGGCACAGTCTGCTGCCCTCACCTTATGCACTGATGCCCCCAAGCTTGCCAGCACGGACAGCACCTCGATGTCCACCTTTCGTGTGTACGTCTGCCCAGTGACAATGAAGGCCCTGGAAGCAGACAGAAAAGGGAGTCAGGTCAAAATGCAACCATCGACACTCACTCCTGGAACCAACTGTTGTTTATCCTTTTTTCTACTCTTCAGAAAGCTTTTCTGACCCGAGGAGGAAAGACGGTGTTGTATGCCCATGCTGTGCGCCCACAGCTCAATGGAAATGGCTGGCAGAAGCCATGGTGGAGCCAGGCAGACCTCAGAAGAAATGGTCAGATTCAGTCCACTGGAGAGACCCTCAGGAAAAGCAAAAACAGCAACATGCACAAGGAAATTCTAAAGACAGCACAAGTAAATAGCTTTCTTTTTCTACTGCTGTGAGAAATCAGAATCTGGGGCTGAGGGCCGCTCAGGGATAAAACAACAATAAAAGAAAATCTAGCCCCAGGACTCAGAAAGCTGAGGCAGAAGGCCATCCTGGACTACATACCAGTCTCACAAAAAGGAAACAAGCAAATAAAACCAACCAAACAAAAATCTAGCCTCTAGACTTTAAGAAAACACACCCCAGGCTGGAGATGGAAGGAAATGGAAAGAAAACAAAGGAAAAATAAAATTATGGTCAAAATCTAGAGGCACAACAAACACAGGCCTGTCATCCATTACCTCAGCCAGGAGGCCAACACTTTTCCCATGTACCTACCTCTTAAATCCTGCCTTTTCTGTCACCATCTTGTCCAGCTGCTCCACCTAGGGGAGAAGACACATCCCTACAGAGTCCTAGTGTTGGGTGAGACAGGGTGTGACAGGGTCTCTACCGTCACCTGCCCAGCCCCGGCTCCCACCTCCATCCAGCCCCAACCTGAAGCCTCATTTCTGGAGCAGCCACCACTGAGCTTTGCACCTCCTCCGTACCTTATTGTGATCGCCCTCAAAGAGCTGCAGGAAGCTGGCCTGAGTGCCTGTGGTGCCCTTCACTCCCCGGAAGCGCAGGTCGTCACGGACACGCGTCAAGTTTTGGAGATCTATGCAAAGGTCTTGAATCCAAAGGCAGGAGCGTTTCCCAACTGTGGTCAGCTGGGCAGGCCTGAAAACAACCCAGAGAGAAAACATACAAGTGTCAAGCCAAGGCCCAGCTTCAGAAAGGCTGGCATGACCCCTTAAGGGGGCCTAATAAAAGACAAAACAAAATCTTAAAAGGCTTGAGCAGGGCTGGGTGTATAGCTCAGCGGCACAAGTGCCTGCATGGCAAGTGCAAGGTTCTGGGTTTGATTCCTGATAACTACTCCCCCCACAAAAAAGACAAATAAATAATAACTAAGGAGCATCAATGTGATTTGTAAGTATGCCAGGATTATAAAACACAAAGGCTACCACCATAGGCTTTTCTCTGTATTTTTGGGTATCAGGAATCAACTCAGGACCTCATGCTTGCCGGCAGGTGCTGCACTACCGAACTATCTCCCAGCCTAGCTTTTTTCTTTTGTTTTTTTGACATATTTAGTACAGTGCCTACAGGGTCTCACTACATACTGGACTCGTAGTGATCCTCCTGTTTTCAGCCTCCCAAGCACGGGATTACAGGCCCACACCACCATACCCAGTCTCAGCTGCCCCATCAGCAAGCCCCCAGGGGCAGGGCTGGCACGGAACGCTGGGGATTGAACCCCAGTCCCTGAGTCTGCCTAAGCAGGCACTTTAATCTGCTGAGCTCGCTGGCCGGCTCTCTAGTTTTTCCTTCCTAAGGGGAAATTTTAATACAAGGGCTGGGGCAATATCTCCTTGTTCACGACTATATTTCCTGACACTGGCAAGAAATATCTCGGACACTCATGGAACAAACATTTGCCAGGGATCTAGGCTGTTTTCGGTTCTGGAAATGCAACAGAGCAGACAAGCCCCTGTCCAGTGCGCCTGATACTGCAGTGGAAGTAAACAAAGCAAGGTAACTGCCGACACTTTAGGCGCGACACACGCAGGTACTGGCCCGGGCCGCTCTCCACTGGCAGCAAAGGGTGGCCTTTGGAAGGAGTCGGTCATACCAGGGAGAAGACCCCAAGTACACATAACCAAAGGCTGCTGTCGTCAATCTCCTGAGGTTTACTTCTGGACAAAAACCACAGTAATGAATGAGCTATAATGTCCAAGTTCTAATAGCTAACACAGGCCACACCAGGGTGAATTTTTCCCCTTTTAGACTCATGAGATGGACAGGTGATAATACCAAGGCACATCACAAGCTGTAGTGCATCCCCAAATTAATCTCGTGGTAATTTTTTTTTGCAGAACCGGGGACTGAAGTCAGGCCCTTGCGCTTGCCAGGGAGGCGCTTATTCTACTGAGCCATCTCCCCGGCCCATCTCATGGTAATTTTTCTTCTTAAATCCTGCTAGTATGTTACCATTACAAGCAAAGGCATCAAATGCATTTGTTTAGGGCAGCATTATCCATAATAGCTGCAAACTGGAAACAAAAATGTCCACCAATTGGTGAATAAGTGAACAAAATACTGTGTGGTATATCCACACAATGCAACATTATTTAGCCGTGAAAAGAGGTGAAGTTCTGACACATGCTTTGTGGGGGAATATTGAAAATACTGAGCTAAGTGGAAGCCAGTCACAAAAAGTTATACCTAGTACATAATTTCATATAAATCCAGAGAGACAAAAACAGGTCAGTGGTTGCCAGGAACTAGGCCAGGGAATTATAGGAGTGATGTGAACAAGGAGAGTGTTTCTTTTACGGTGATGGAAATATTCTGGAATTAGTGGTAATAACTGTAAAGCCCTGTGAATACACTAAATATACTCTAAGCCAATAAGCTGTAGTAATAATAACTAACCTAATAAAGCTAATAGTTTAAAAAGGGCAAGTTTCACGGTACATGAATTGTATCACTGTAAAACTTTTTCTTTTTTGGCAGTCTCATTGTGTAGCTCAGGCTGGGCTTGATCTCACTATAGAACCCTGGCTGGCTCAAATTCACGGTGGTCCTCCTGTCTCAGCCTTCTCAGGGCTGGGGTGACAGGTGTGAGCCACCACACTTGTTTTGTGCACCACCGCTGAGGAACACCGGAAAGCCTCTAGATTTCCTGCGGACCCCACCCTCAGGCGAGGTGAGGAAGATGGAACACAGTGTGTAGGAGAGTCAGCAGGGAGAACAACAGCTCTCCGCAACAGCTCTCCGCGAGTCAAGGAACACACTGGGCACCGACTCCATACAAGTTATCCATAAATATGCCTGCTTTGGGGCGTACTTAAGTGGCAGAGTGCTTAACTAATGCGTGTGACACCGAGTTTCATTTTCAGTACTGAAAAACAAACAAACAAAGCCAGTCCTAACTTTAAGGAAGATTGAGTGCAACAGGCTTTCATCAGTGATGAGATGGTACCTTCACTGCCATGATGACATCTTATCAAAACACAGGGCAAGGCATGCGAGGCAGCCCTGGGCTGTAGCGCTTGCCCAGCGAGCTGTCAGCTCTGGGCTTGACACACTGCGCTAAAAAATAAACAAAAGGTAGGTGCAAGGACACCACTACCCAACATCACTCAGTGTCTGTCCAAAGCTCTGTCCACTAGCATTCCAAAGATGGCATTTTTATGCATATACCGTATGTATTTTTTTAGTACTGGGGACTGAACTCCGGACCCTATGCTTGCCAGGCAAGTGCTTATCCTACTGAGCTATCTCTCTGGCCCAAAGTTAACTGGTAGTATTTTTTCCCGGTACTGGGCATCAAACTCGGGACCTCACGCATGCCAGGCAGCACGCATGCTGCTGAGCCATCTCCCCAACCCTCCTTATTTTTGAGACAGGGTCTCACTATTCAGTTTGGGCTGGACTTGTGCTCACTTTTGTAGCCCCTAGGCTGGTCTTGAATTCACAGAGATTCTCTTGGCTCAGCCTCCTGAGTGCTGGGATTACAAGTGTGCCCCACCACGCCGGGTTTGGGGCCGCACGGTGGGCACCCAGGCATCTGGGGACAAGATGGCGACCACACAGCATGTGGGGCCAGGGATCAAACTCAGGTCCTTGTGCTTTCCAGGTAGAAATAGCCTCTGAGCTATCTCCTCAGCCCCTATACTTTAAAAACCAAAAAAAAAAAAAAAAAAAAAAAAAAAGTAGAAATGGTTTCTCTATCATATCAAAAATCAGAACCACCAGTATTTACTGTCAGCCAGGCACAGTGATACATGCCTGTAATCCACTTGGGAGGCTGAGGCATGAGGATAATCGGGGGCTGGAGGCTAGCCTAGGCCACAGGTAAGATCAAGACCAGCATGAGCTACACAATGAGACCCTGTTACTCTTTTTTTTTTTTTTTGGTGCTACCAGGGATCAAATTCAGGAAATTGCACTCGCCAGCCAAGCATTTATTCCACTGAGCTATCTCCCTGGCCTCCTGTCTCAAAAGAAAAAACAAAACAGTTTTACAAGCATGTTTGTAATGGCTCCCTATTATTCCTGTTGATGTACTATACCTTATTATTTTGTCTGCCATCTGAATTGATTCCAATGCTTATAATAAAAATATAACAAAGATTTTATGCATGAGGCTTTTCTCATAATTTTGAGGATACTCAACAAAAGAATCACTAAGTTAAGGAGTATGAAAATGCTACAACTCTTGATAATTTTTTTCCAAATGAGCTAGGCATGCTATCATATGCCTATAATCCCAGTATTCAGGAGGCTGAGGCAGGAGGATCACTGTGATTTTTGAGAACAAGTGAGTTCAAGGCCATCCTGGACTACACAAAGAAACCCTGTCTCTTAAAAGAAAAAAAAAAAAACCCCAAAATAAATGGACTGTTAGATTTACTTTCTCCTAAAGATGGCTTTTAAGATGGATTTTTAAAAAGGGGGGGGGGGGGCTGGGGAGATAGCTCAGTGGAATAAGCGCTTCCCCGGCAAGTGCAAGGGCCTGAGTTCAATCCCCAGTTCACAAAAAAAAAAAAAAAAAAAAAAAACAACCAAAAGAGATGGATTACCAGGCTTGTTGCTCATTAGCATCCCAGGTTATCTATGTGGGTTACACTTTGAGACTCACCCTGTTCATTGAAAGCCTTAAACACATAAGTTGGGCTATTTCCCAAGACGTAATCTGGCTACTTACTGGTAATGTGTGAAACCTAAGGTAGGCAGGTTGGCGTGCTCCTTAGCAAAGTCAGCAAGCCGAGAGATGACTCTAGCAAGCTACAAGAAAGACCATGGGGTGGAGAGAGTGAATTCACAGTGAGTTCATTCTGCAGTTGGAACTAGACCTTGAGGCAGTTTTACTAAGGCATATGCCTATCTCCTCGTCTCTGTAGCCTACATTGCCCCGACCAGGGTTTACAACAGCCAACATCTGAAAACTGAATCGACTGCCTCAAAAGCCACAAACTATTTTACGACTACTGCAGAAAAACAGAACAAAGTCATAATCCACTTTTTAAAAATTTACTTTTTTATTGGTACACATTTGCAGTACACAGTGGGTTGGGGTACTGGTGCCTGTATATAACACATCTTGGGTCTTTTTTCTCACTCTCCTTTGCTATCCCTCCCCGCTCCAACTCTTGGTCCCCTTTGTCATTTGCAAAAGCTCTATTTCCCTTTTTCCTGCCATCTCCCTCCCCGCTGAATCAACCCTGAGCCACACATCCAGCAATAAGCTTCTGGCTTCACTTTCTTTATTTAAAAGACGCAATTTAAAAGTATTTACTTACACTGGTTTAACCTAAGCAGAGACAATTAGCTCTACAGACCCGAGGGTCACCTGAGAGAATAATCTACAGAGAGACACTGTGTTGATTACTTGTAACTGAAGCCCATCTGCTATCAAAGGGAGTCTAGAGCTGCCAAGAAACTTCTGCCAATTTCTTACCTTTGGCAAAAGCAGGTCAAATGCGTTTCTAAGAATAATCAAGTCCTGCAAAGAAAGATGCAATGGTCTTACGTTATTAGACAGCTTTGTGTGACAGTCTGATTACATACCGCTCTCTGGGTATCTCGCCTGGGTTTCTTAGCTAGCAGCCTATCTCTTCTTTACCAACCTACTGTGTATGTCACAAAGTGCTACCAAAGGCTGTTCTGATTAGTGTGTCCAAAGCAGAGTAGTGTTTCAGGAATCCATAAGGAACGTAAACAGGGGCTGGGGAGATAGCTTGGTGGCCTAGGTGCCTGCCTGGCAAGTGCAAGGACCTGGGTTCGATCCCCAGTACCAAATGTGGTGCCACTGTGCTGGCTACCAAAATCAAGTGTGGTGGTGCATGCCTGTAATCCCAGCACTGGGCAGGCTCAGAAAGGAGGATCACTGAGTCAGAGGTGTGTAGTGAGGCCCTGTACTAAACAAGTAAATAAAGATCTTTTTTTTTTTTAAAAAAAAAGGAACATAACATTCACTCATTCATTTTTGTGGTATGGGGATCAAACCCGGGACCCATGCACTGAGCTACACCCCTGTCCTCTTTAAAAATTTTTTTTTTAATTTTGAGAAAAGGGACTTAGTAAGTTGTTAAAATTGCCCAGGCTGGGCTTGAACTTGTAATCTTCATGCCTCAGCCTGCCATATGCTGAGACTACAAGCATGTCCCACCACACCTCTCTATGGACATAACCTTTATACTAAAAAACCCAGGGCTGGGGAGACGGCTCAGGAGCTTATGCGCCCACCTGGCAAGTGCAAGGTTCAAGTTTGATCCCCTGAACCACAAAACTAACTAAAAACAAACAAAAACCCCAATGTGTTATCTGCAATGACAAAATAATGAACAAGTCCACAAAATTTGTTGCATCTTCCTAGATAGGAGTGTCTGAAACCTCCACAAAAGACTACTCTGCTGTTTTCCCTTTTTCTTATATCTATAGCCGCTAACAAGGCAAGGCATTATCCAAATCATCAAAGTTTAAGAAATGTCAGGCTCTTTTTGTTTTGTTGTCACTATTTGGCAGTACTGAAGAGCAAGCCCAGGGCCTCCCACTTGTCTCCAGCCCTTTATGGTTTGCTTTTTTTGAGACAGGGTCTCGCTATGTAGTCCACAGTGGCCTCAAGCTCATAGCACTTATCCTGCCTCAGCCTCCCAAGTGCTAGGATTACAGGTGAGTGCCATCACTGCTGGCTTTCAGCATTTTTTTTTTTTTTTTGGGTGGAAGCAGGGATTGAACTCAGGCCCTTGTGTTTGTCAAGGAAGCACTTATTCCACTGAGCCATGTCCCCAGTCCCATTTTTTTTTTTTTTTTTTTTTTTTTTGAGAGAGAGGGTCTCACTAAGTTGCCTGAGCCAGGCTCCAACTTGCAATCTTCCTGCGTCAGCTTCCCAGAATGCTGGGACTACAGGCATGTAGTACCATGTTGAGCTTTGAAGCTGCTGAAGGAGGTAGAAGATGTACTTCAGGCCAACTCTAACACATGTTTATGTATGACAGTAACTGTTGAGAACTACACAATGGATATTTTTCAAAAGGAGTTTTCTAAGTAAGAGAATTGCTATTCTATTACCTGACTAATTATACATAGATGCCTTTAATCAGGTACTACCTAAAAGACTTTAAAAAAGCAGGCTAAGTACTTTGGCACACAGCTGTAATCCTAGCACTCAGCAGGGTGATCACGAGTTTCAGGCCAGCCCAGGCTACATAGTGGTTTTGAGACTGGTCTCGATTATGACTTTGTGTCTTAAAAACAACAACAAAAAAGTGGGCTAGGTGATGGGGTAGCTCAGGATGTGAGCACAGCACTTGCTTAGATTGTGTGAAGCCTGGGTTCATTCCGCAGCATGAGGAGGAGGGGATCTAGGGTAACCTACATCACTGGCTTCTTCCTGAATTTGAATTCTGCCCAGAATTGGACTTCTCTACTCCTATGGCACTCTCTGATTAAAAGCACAAGCGTGGGACTCATTCTAGCCAGCTCTCTAGCTGTGCAACTGCAAGCTGTTTCTTCAACCTAAGCTTTCTCATCTGTAAGATGTTAATAAAGCCAGACTCAAAAGACTACATATTCTGATGCCATTGATGAGAACTCTCTGGAGTGGACTGGGACCTGAGGCAGCTGCAGGGACTGCATGCAGTCACGGGAACTTCTTGGGGAGGATGTAATCTACAGCTGGAGTGTGGTAAAGGTAGAACTGGAATCCCCTACTAAAATTCAATACTGCCTACTTGAAATGGGTAAGCCTCCTGCAATTTAAAAAACTGTACTGTCTAACAATGGAAGTGTAGGACCAGCCAAATAGCTCAGTGGATTAAAGTGCCTGCAAACAGGCACAGGGGCCAGGGGTTCAACTGAGACTGGGCGTGGTGGCGTGTACCTGTGATCCCAGCTCTTGGGCAGCTCTAAACAAGTGGATCACTATGAGTCTGATCTAGGAGTGAGACCCTGAACACCCTGTAGACCCTTCCCTAAAATACAAACAAAAAAAAAAAAAAAAATGGAAGTGACACCATCTATCTCTTATGGCAGTTATGAAGAATAAATGAAATAATATGTGTAAAGTTCCTGGCACCGGCTGGGGAGATGGCTCAGTGGAATAAGCACTTGCCTGGCAAGTACAAGGGCCTGAGTTCAATCCCCGGTTCTGCCAAAAAATAAACAAACAAATGAAGTTCCTAGCACCTAATAAGCTCTTACGGAAATGCTTGCTGCTACTTTTAAAGTGCTTGTAGGGCCGGGGAGATGGCTCAGTAGAATAAATGCTTCCCTGGCAAGCACAAGGGCCTGAGTTCAATCCCAAGTTCCACCAAAAATAAATAAATAAATAAATAAGTAAAATAAATAAAATAAAATAAAGTGCTTGTAAGACAATTGTGCTAATCAAAGGCCTTGCCTGACGATTTTAATGCAATCCTTCTTTCTTTTCAGAAGCCATGGCAAAGTTGTAATGGCCTTTGGGAAGACTGGGGATTTTTTTCTCCTTTGCAGCAATGGGAACTGAACCCAGGGATACATCCTCAGACCTACAATACTTTTTATTTTGAGACAGGGTCTCACTAAAGTTGCTCAGGGTGGGTTTGAACGAGCAATCCTTAAGTCACCTCCCAGGGTGCTGAGATTATGCATGTGTACCATCATGCCTAGCTGGAAAATAAAAATAAAATGTATAAATCCATTAGAAAGACTAAGCCCTCCCTATGACCATCAGAGGGTCCTACTGTATTGTCTCCAACATAGCAGGAGGTGGCACCAAGATGGATGATGCCTGCAGCCTTTGGACAGCAGTGGCCAAACGTGTGCACGTGAGCCATCACGTCGTGCCGTAGTTTTTTCTCTTCTTCAGCGGCCATCTTGAAGTCTATGTTGTCCAGGTTGGATTTCATCTCTTGGATTTGTTCGTCTGTGATAGGCAAACCCAATGCCTGCGGAATGGGAGAAATAAAACCAAACGACCTTAGTGCCAGAATTATATGATTTAAAGGACAAAAATATTAGCATTTATGGCTTACCGCTGAGTTCTTAAAATCTGGAGCAACCACATAAAAGCACAAAGTATGCATGGGGTGCTGTGGAAAGGAACTGTCTTAATGAATTATGATTAAAAAAATTATGATGAACTATATTCTACGTAAACTCAAATAAAGCAAAGCAGTCTTGCTATCAACTGTTCCTCTGGTTGCTGTATGCTTCCTTCATTCACTGTACTCATGTTCTAGTCTCTGAGCTCAGCTGTCACTTACTCAGAAAGGTCTTCTGCGGCGTCACTATCAAACACTTTTCTGTGTCACTATAATCCTTCGGCCTGGTTTTATGAAGTGCATTTACCACCAAATAACTTTTAACGTAATTCCCAGCTACCATCCTCCCCGGGACTGTATCCTCCACCAGAGAGCTTTGCTTTGCCTGTTTTAAGACTAGATCCTTTCATGTTGCTCAGGCTGCTCTTGAACCTCCCAGGCTCAAGGGATCTTCTTGCTTCAGCCTCTGATGTGCTGGGAATTTCATACCACCATCACCAACTTGAGAACTGTCATTATTAATTGCTTAGTCCTTATAGACTGCCACGTAAGCATATGAAGTATAGAACTTTTGGTGGACTAGTTTACTCAGAGAAGTCAAAATTCAGAATTTTGGCCTTAGGCAGCCATGCATGTCTATTATCCCACCACAGGGAGGCAGAAGCAGGACAGAGAGCTCCAGGCCAGCCTGGGCTACACAGCGGACTGAGGCCAGCCTGGGAGAGGCTGTCTAAAGAAACTTTAGACTCTGTCTAAAGAAAAAAAAAAAAATCTGTAAGTTTTTGCCAACAACAAATTTGTTACAGCTGAAAGCAATTATAGGAGCTATCCGTGAGAAAAGAAATAAATCAACATCTTAAATACATCTATTACTAGAAAAAGTAGGCTTTTTGTGACAGGGCCGTGCCATGTAGTTCAGGCTGGCCTTAAGTACTCAGCAATCCTCCTCTTTCAGCAGCTTCCCAAGTGCTGGGGGTTACAGGCATGTGCCAAAACGCATGGTCCTGAAAATTTAGGTTTTCAAAAAGCAAGCCAGCCATGACAGTGTGTCACTACAATCCCAGCTACTTGGGAGGTTGAGAAAGATTATAAATTCAGGTCTGCAGACATAGGTCAGTGGGTTCTGGGCTTCTCTAAACAAAAAGTAGCTCAGAGTAACAGCATTTACCTGGATTTCAAGGGCCAAACACATACAGTGGTGAAATGACTCAAATCTTATAGACAGATCTGTACTACCCAAGATTGCAGCAGCTACTAGCCAGATGCAGCACATGCCTGTAATCCCAGTTACTTGTGAGGCTCAGGCAGGAGGATCACATTCCCGAGGCAAGCCTGGGTGACTCAGTGAGATCCTGTTTCAAAATAACCACACACACACACACACACACACACACACACACACACTCCTAGCCATATTTTAAGGGTTTAGTACTCACATATGGCAGAACTACCAGAACCTTTAGTTAGTAGACAGGATACCTCAGGGCTTCTCCCAAAGCAGAGTGTGTGTGTGGTCAGACTACCTTGTAACAGTACTCCCCCTTCCTCCCACGCAGCTGAGCTTCTTGAAATCCACACTTTGTCTACTGCTAACTTTATGCATTTCTCCTGTTTTTCTTATTTTCGGAGGTTTCACTAAGTCATTATAACATGTATCTTGCTAAATCTGACCTAATAGACAACAGGTAATCCAAATCCAAAACAGTTTGCATTTCAGACAAAGTGTAGGCCAGATAGACAACTCTATGTTCGACTCCAGGCCGAAGCCGTTTACTGACACTGGCCAAGTGCTCCTGCGTGCTAGCTTGCTTATCTCTAGAATGGTGCATCAAAGCAACAAGCCAATGCAACAGGTAACTAAGGCCCTACCATCTACCACTACTATCTGAGTCAATTTAATAAGTCTCTGCCTCCATTCTCTCATTTGTGAAATAGGTCCAGTAACAGATCTTGTAACTGTACTTACCCTAATGAGCTGTTCTATGGATTAATGAGATAGCATATATAAAGTCTTTTTTTTTTTTTTTTTTTGCGGACACAGGGATTAAACTCAGGCGCTTGCACTTGCCAGGGAAGCGTTTATTCCACTGAGCCATCTCCCCGGTCCCATAAAGTCTTTTTTCTTTTTTTATTTTTTTGCGGAACCAGGGATTGAATTCAGGTCCTTGCGCTTGCCAGGCCAAGGGCTTATTCCACTGAGTTATCTCCCCGGCCCCCCCATAAAGTCTTTTAAAAATGTTTTTATAGGGGCCGAGGAAATGGCTTGGTAGAATAAGCACTTGCCTGGCAAGCACAAGGGCCTGAGTTCAAAACCCTGGTTCCACCAAAAAAAAAAAAAAGCTTTTACAGGGAAAAAAATAACACTCGAAATTTATTACATGCCTTAAGACATGGGAATACTAACTCCTATGTAAAACATTAAAAAATACTGCCTGGCCCTAATATCATAGATGATATCAGTAACAGGGCATTGGAATTCCCAGCTAACCTACAATTTCGGTACCCTGGGAGGCTGAGGCAGGATGGAAATTTCCAACCCAGCTTGGGCAACTTAGTGAGATCCTGTCTCAATATAAAAAGGGCTGGGGATATAGCTAGTGTGAAGGCCCTGGGTTCAGCTCCCCCTCCCCATTTGTGCCTGGGTCACAGAGGGCACTACATAAATATCTGGAATTATCCTATCACTGGATGCTTAGAGCACAGTGACGTGGGCTGGGCAGGGCATCTGGGACAAAAGTTCCATGTTCTCAAGGTCCTAGGCACTAGTCAGATCAGCTCCAGTTTTACTTCGCCATTTGCCAGCATGTTGCCGCCTTGCTTGAGGTGGCATTTTTCCCCTGAAATGTGAGAAGAAACATCAGCATTCTTTGGATCACCTTCAGTTTCCTTCCACTCTGGGAAGGCTCCTCTGGAGCTATTTCTAACTCCGCTGCGCTGAGCAGTCCTATTTGCAGCCCTTAAAAGACAGAGTATCAACCCAACCTAATGAACTGCCATCCGGACCCTTCCATCTCAGAGGCAAAACGCAGCTCTGTGAAGCAGAAAAAACACAGTATTCCAGTGGTGGCGTAACTGACACTGCAAAAGGAACATTAAAATTTAGCGCTAGTTTTGGTTTAGAGATAACAAAACTTCTCCATGCTTTTTCCAGCTGAACACATAGCAACACCCACTTCTCTCTTTAGCCCCAAAGAAAAGACAGGATATGCAGATGCCAGCCCCAGGAGGCCAGGAGCCTGGTGGGTTTTCTACCAGAGGAAGATCAGATGAAGATGGCTGGAAGTGACAAAGCAAGCTAGAGATCTGGATTATCTGTCTCTCTACCACTACCACTACCACTAGAAAAGATCCTTGCCCACCTGGAAAGGAGATGGTGATCTGAGGCAAAAGGACCTTCCAACTCCTTGGAGTTAGGTTTTTTTTTTTTTTCTCCCATGGTACCAGGGATTGAACTCAGGACCTTGTGCTTGAACTCAAGACCTCATTTTACTGAGCTATCTCTCCAGTCCCTTTGGAGTTATGTTTGAATAGATCCTTTTCCCATAAAATCAGCCTCGCTATGTTCTGTCACAATAAAATTACCTTGCCCTAATCATAGGTATAACTAAACCTTTTCTAGGGTGCTGCAAAGTAGCACAAGCACTTTCATTTTTGAGTTTTTAACATGCCATTAGTGTCTCTATCCTCCTTTTTTTAATTTTAATTTTTGTTTCCTCTTAAAAAAGAAAAACTCTTAATCTAAAATTTTCTGTTGATAAATGGTTCAAGAACTTTCAACTCTTCCCGGCCTGGTAGTGCATGCCTGTAATCCCAGCACTTGAGGAGGGAGAGGCAAAAGGATGCTCGTGAGTTCAAGGGCAGGCTACACTACATAGTGAGCTAGAGGCTAGAATGACCTCTGTAGGGAGCCTGTCTCATAAGTGAAAAGCAGGTACTTTGAATTCTATCCTGGCACATAAAGAATGACTTTAAGCGCCAAATGGCTTACATAATTGTAAATGGTACCGAAACACTGCTCCCCATCCTACTATAAAAGTGATTATAAGAAAAAGATGAAATAAGCAAAAGAAAAAAACCCTGACTTTTAAAGATCCATTTTGCAGTGCCGGTTCCACTGTCACTAACTTTACATGCACCACGGAAGTCGAACTGGCTAAGCGGGGAGTTCAAACTCTAGACCGAGGCCAGGTTCAAAGCCCAGCCCCGTTATAGCTCCGCTATTTGCATGCGGCAAACCACGCGCACGCTCTCCGTCCGGGCTGTTTTCTTCCCTGCAATGTGTGGGCACAGCACCGAACTTGCAAAGTCTTCACGACACATAACTCGCGCTCAGCATTTGCGGTCAGCCGTGCACTTTTGCAGCAATGGCCAAACTAAGTGGCCTGAAGCGACATACTGCATCTCTCCTCTGGGTCTGAAAAAATGTGAGCAACAGGTGTAGGTCCCGGGCCTCCTGCCCTGGCCTTCCTGTGGCCACAGCTTCTTAGGACACCGAACCACCGCCCAAAATAGCCTGGTCGCAAGCCAGTGCTCGGGGCCGTCCGGCACGTGCTGGGCCGCCTCCCCTAGCTCAGCTCTACCCCCTCCGCCTGTGGGCTCGGTACCTGCTCGGCCTCCGCCAGCCACAGCCAGAGCTGCCGCCACGTCCGGAACTTGTTCCTGTCGCTAAACAAGAAGCACATTTCTGGGCTAGCATAGCGGGAGGCAAGGGGAGAACGGTAAGTGTCCAGCAAGCAATGACCGTCTCCGGCTGCCATCCCTAACGCGGCGCGACCCCGACACTGCAGACAGGACGGAGAGCGGAAGCGGAAGCGGAAGCCTGGGTGTCTGAGGCGGGACTTCCTCCCCGGGGGCGGGACTTCCGCTCGGCCCCACCCCCAGGGCATCAGGGCCCGGAGGCTGTGGGCTGTTGGGCTCGGGGGCTGCCCCCGCTTTCCCTGCTTTATCAAACCTGTGATTAGCCATAAACAAAGCATACGGTGGGAAGAGATAGGAGATAGGATAGTGGGTTAGACTGGGAGAAGAAAGATGGGAAGATAGGTAGATAAAGCGCTTTAGCACTTAACCCAAATCCCTCTGCTCCTCAGTTTTTCCATCTGTAAAAGACTTTAAGACCGGCTGCTTCAACAAAGCAGTCAGGCTCAGGTTGCTGTGGTTCGATCCCCACAACACAAGACAGCCAGTCATGCCTTGCAGGCATTCGGAGCAAAAAAAAAAAACCACTTCTGCCATTGGGGCTGGTGAGATGGCTCAGTGGTCTAAAGCACCTGCTTCGGAACAAGCTTAGCAAAGCACAGGGACCGCGGTTCGATCCCCCGGCACCACATGCCAGCCAGCCCCGCCCCCTGGTGGGCTGAGCTGGCCACACACACACACACACACACAATTAAAAAAAAAAAAAAGACATAAGTTCTTTTTTTTTTTTTCCCCCCCCCCAGAACCGGGGATTGAACTCAGGCCCTTGCGCTTGCCAGGGAAGCGCTTATTCCACGGAGCCATCTCCGCAGCCCCAAGGCCCATCTTTTAAGATGTTGTGTAGGAGTTGGGGAGACAACTCGGTGGTCTAAGTGCCTGCCTGGCTAGCGCAAAGGCCCCGTTTCGATCCCTGGTACCGCATGCCGTGCCGGTGCGGAACCCTGGCGCAGTGGTGCACATCTGTAATCCCAGCGCTGCGGAGGCTGAAACAGGAGGAGCACTATGAGTCTGAGTTGTGTAGTGAGGCCCTGTACCAGATAAAAGATTAAAAAAAATTTAAAAGATGATTGTGTAGATGTAGTATTAGAGGGAAAGGCACACAGCCAGTAAGCCAGATTTGACACTTCCTTTTTCTGAGACAGTGTCTTTATGTACTTCGGTCTGGTCTTGAACTATGTAACATCCTGTTTCAGCCTCCTGAGTGCTGGGATTATAGGTGCAACACCACTTTCGACTAAAAATCACTTTAGCAGCATCATACGCTAAATGTCACACTATCCTACCTCTTCTCTGGAATACTTTTCTAACTTCTACTTAAAACCTACTCCAGAAAATATTCCCTGATAATCCCATTCCTCTGGTTTGCCAGTAATAATGAAAACCTGTCTCATTTTGGGGAGATCTTCCTAGTACCAGGCCCTGCCCTACGTGCTTTATACAGGTGAATTCATTTAATCGTAAACAATCCTAGCTTGTTTGGTGTTACTAAATGAGCTAAACTTTTGATAGAGTGCTTAATAAATGCTACCCATTAGGGTCCCTAAAATGTAGATGATAAAAGCAAGGAAAGACTGTTCCCAACCACTCAACCACCCTCGTGGAGACAGAACCTGGATCGTTCACATTGAGCTATATACCCCAGCCCTTATTTAGATAGGGTCTCTTAGAGTGTTGGAATTACAGGCATTTGGTATCACCCCCCATAGACTGTCTGTAGGTTGCTCTTATAGAAAATATTCCAACCTGGGTCTGAACAGCTCCAAATCTGTCCTTCCCTGTGTGCTGCAGCATCCATACTGCGCTGGTTTTTCTTTGTTCCGTTTTTGTTTTTGAGACAGGGTCTCACCCTGCAGTTCAGGATGTCCTTGAATTTACTTGTAGGCTGGTCTGCAACTCACAGTGCTCCTTCTGCTTCATCCTCTCGAGTATTGGGATTACATGCATGCACCATGTCCCCCCCATTCCCCCTCCGGCCCCCTGCCTCTCCACTCCCTTTTTGGAGATAAAACTTGGGATCCTGCATCTGCCAGGCAGGCGCTTATGCTGCTGAGCTATCTCCCCGCAACCCCCATGTGCTGCTTTAAACTTACCTGTTTTTGAGATCCTCAGTAAAATGAGACCTCCCAGCTCCACTGCAAATTCTCAGCTTTGATGAGGTGAGCTCCTCTTTTCCAATAATCAAAATATTTCAGGAACACTGAAAGTTACGGATT